TGCTTTCAAAGCGCTATTTAAAGCTCCCTTTTTTCTCCGCGCTGTTGTCACGCTGTGATGACGTCAGCTACGCAGTTTCATCGAGCGCCCTTTAGTCGAACGCGGTTTTGTGGTGGAACCGAGAAGTTCACATAATCACTAGTTACTTACTAGGGTTTACATGATCACTAGTTACTAGAGTTCTCATATCCATCTTTAACTATACTAGTTATCCATCTTTAAAAATATTGCATTAAAGTACATTGCAAAAGCCAACTCAACAGTAAAACCAGTTCAGTAATTTCCTTTTCTGGTTTGTTATGAAAGCCGTAATCAAAACCAACATCACAATGCATGATTTATTTAAAATTAAGTTTGTTTCCTTTTAATACCTCTAGTCCTTATCAGGCAAACAAAACAAAACAAAAATCTGATTTGTGCAAATCTTTCAGAAAACTGCAGAAAGAAAGTGGATTCCTCTTTTTAATTTTTAGAAGTGAAGTCTTCTTTATTTGCCATTTGTTGAAAGCAGCCATTATCTTCTATAAATGGCACAGGACATACAGGAACGACTAAGTGGGATATGCGGCTCCAGAGCCCACTTAGCTTATCGGTATCCATAAGGTCGTAAGAACTGGTTGAATCAGAGTTTGTGAATTTAGTCCAGAGGAAATCCCGCACATTTTCCTCCACGATTTGTAGACCAATGGCAGGATCCAACTTCTCATTCTCCAGCAAAACTGTCAAAATCAGCGCCACATCTTTGAAAGCGGCATTCTCGTGGTCACAGTACTTGTAAAAGATTAAGGTGGAGCTTGCAGGCAGGGATTCGAACTGGTGTATTACTGCTGCCTTCCCTCCTCCGTGGAAACCAACGCTCAACTCCTCGTCAACTGCTAGCTTTGCAAGATCATTGCTTAGAGTAGATTTAGAAATCCCATCTACGTGGACTGTGCGGCTTCCCAGGGATGACGAATAGGCGCGGGCAACCTGGGTGCTCAGGCACTTGAGAGTTGATTTCGCTTCCTGGGCAGCAGTAAAGATTAAGATAGCTGGTTCAGTGTGGTAGGATGCGTTAAGGTGCTTCTGCAATATTTTCCGTACTCGTCCCCACAGGTGAGGACTCTGACCTGGGAAGACGTCCTTCAGCGGATTGAACTTTGATAGGAAGACCTCCACCACTGGGTTTTTCGGCATACTTGGAGCGTGTGAAGGATAGTAACAACAGCAACTTGCGAAAATCGCGATCAACGCCACCATTATGGCTAGAAAAACTCCACGGCGGAGAAAGCCTGATAATTAAGGGCAGAGAGTGGAGTGAAGAAAGAAAAAACTATTCAGAAAACATCACACGAGGACAAAAGTCACATGCCAAAGACTTAAGTAATTTATTATTAATGGAAATATTTCATATCTCTGGCGGCCCCCCCGGGGGAGGGCCTTCTCTGTAGCTGCGCCAGCCCTGTGGAACGATCTACCCGTAGAGATCCGGACCCTTACCCCCCTCCCGGCCTTCAGTAAAGCCCCTGAGACCTGGCTGTACCGTCAGTCTTGGGAATGTTGATAAATGTCCAGGGCCAATTA